TAACTAACTAACTAACCAACTTATTAACTAACTAATTAACTTACTTAATAACTAACTAACTAACTAACTAACCAACTTATTAACTAACTAATTAACTTACTTAATAACTAACTAACTAACTAACTAACTATACTTACTATCTATCTAGCTAAATAATAGTGTTACTAAATATTATAGTAATTAATGAATCTACCTATAAAGCAGCTTGGCTGTACTGCTACCAGACGTGACCTTATAACGCTAGAGTGGCTTCATGGTAGAACAGCCAAACTTGGAAGCTTGTGATGTAATCTCAAAGAAAATAAATGAACGGCAAACGCTTCGAAGGAAGCGTTCGCCGTACACTCATTTCCTGGCAACGTTCGTGCTCTTCGAGCCCACGCTTTCTCAACATTTTACTTCCGCTTGTCGGCAAGAGTAAGTGCACAAAGCAAACATTTCACGGGTCGGGCGTCCATGCATGGTTGGTGTGCGTATCGTACTTTTCCTGTTAGCTGCCATTCAGGGCTGAGCCCTGCAGTCTTGCCATAGCTCTTTGCATCTTGAAGAATGGGCTAATATTATTTCAATACCTCGCCGAAGCCCTTTCAATCCCCACAAAGACGTGCGGGTTATGCGGACACGCTTGCGAAGCCTTAGCACACGCACTGACCCACGCGAAGATATATATATATATATATATATATATATATATATATATATATATATATTGTAACGACGAGAAATAAGAGACAACGCCTTTGCTGCAGGCCGGCTGTTCTTATTCTGCTTCGTCTTCCTCGGCTTCCGTCACCCTGCCTGCGCCCTTGCCTGAGCCCCACTATTTATTATCATTACACTCGGCCCCGACTGCGAGCCTCGTGGGCTACCGACAATGTCTCCGGTGGGCGGCATTGACTATTCCGGGGTGGCCGGGCTCGGCCAAGCTGATATTTCACATGGAAGTTTGTTGAAGGAGATTCCGGAGGACGACACTGGCTGTGACGTGATGGTCGGTGCAGGCGTCGTCCACGATGGGGCCAACGCTGTTGACTTGGACAAGATGCCGCTAGCAGGAGATACAGACTCCTGCAAAGTGGCCGCGTTGGTTTAATCTCGTCGGTTTGAGCATCCTGTCGCAGTCGTGTTACAAATGCTGGAAATAGTCCACGCTGCACCGTCACCTGCTGCACTGAGCGTCGACGCCTGCGTTGCTTGCGGTGTGGCAAGGGGCGTCGGGGTGTCTTTGTAGTCATCTGAGAGCCGAGTTCAGGTTGCAGCTTGAGAGGCAACGCGTGCTCTTGCAGCACTGCCTTTGTCGGACTCATGCCCAAGCTGTTTATTCCTATAGTTTCACGTGCAGTAGAGCCTTCATTGTGAGATGACCTGTCACTAACCGGAAGTATTACCTTCTCTGGTAGGTCTTTGTTGACAGTGACTTTGAAGGAGGCGGCGCTTAGCGTGTGGCAGACGTCCGCACACTCGGCCACAGACTGACGTGATATCAGGAGATGTCGCTTCGAAGTGAGGGTCAACACTGTAGGGTTGTTCGTCCCAGGGTAGGTGGTTAAATTGGCTGTCGGGAAGCTGCAAAATACAGCTGAAGCCGCGAGGGTGGTCTCCTTCTGGGATCTATTCTCGGTAGCGGTCGCGTAAGACTGGGTGGTCGTGGAGAGGTGATGGTGACTCCGTCCAAAAGCAGCTATGAGCTTGTCACTCCAGTCCACCCAGGACGTCTGCCGCACGCCTTCGTATCGATGCCAAGCCGCGGCAGCATTCCGAAGGCGGTCTATGGCCATGCCCCACTTCTTTTGGTCCGTCCACGCTGCGTGATCTCCGACAGCGTTGACGGTTGCCACCCATTCCTTGGCATCGTCCTGGAAGCCGCGAAACTCCGGTAGCTCGAAGGAAATCGGCGATGGCGGGACTGCGGGCAAAACTCCGAAATGTGCCCACGCCAAGCAGTTCACTTGCTCTGATACCTCCGTGAGAGAACGCCCGAGATTGCGACGGTTCTCGGGCGAGCTTACCTCGAAGTTTTGTGGGGTTTAACGTCCCAAAAACCACCATAGATTATGATAGTCGCCGTAGTGGAGGGCTCCGGAAATTTCGGCCACCTGGGGTACTTAACGTGCACCCAAATCTGAGCACACGGTCCTACATCATTTCCGCCTCCATCGGAAATTCGGAAATGCAGCCGACCTGCGGGTCAGCAGCCGACCTCTGAGCTATCATAGCGGCGCATATATATTATATATATATATATATATATATATATATATATATATATATATATATAGTAGTAGTATATATAAAGTACTGAATTTGCGATGGTCCGCAGCTTGCAAAAAGGTTCACTGTATGGGCACCGGGCAATTTATGGTGCCATTTCTCCCGAAGGGCCCACGGCAACGGGAAGGAGTGTGCAACAATTTTTAGATTGTGTTCCCGAGATACACTGGGCTGTCCAACATATATATGGTGACATACATCTCCGGAGATACTCAGGCGGAACAAATACCGGGCGCGTAGGCCAGGCTAACCCCACTTGCGGCTACATGGTCGAGTGTTATTCCATTTCCATTTGGAATAACTGGAAATCAGCATTTCCACTTGAGCACGTTCGCGTTTCCAAATGGTTTCAGCAGTTTGCTTCTTTCTTTTTCTGTTCAATGAGAGGTATACGGCACCGGAACAAGAAATTGTAAAGGTGAAAGCGCTTACGCTACATACGCTATCCCAATTTGTGCAGCAGGGCAACGCGTATACAGGACATAACTACGCGTGAAACTCGTGCACATGTACGCTCGTTCCGGGTTGTAATCGTCGAAGATTGAGGTCGGGCGAACAGACCGTATAAAAGGTGGCGCGTACCTTACCCGCTGTATGTCGACCTCTATACGGCCATTCTCAGACCTCGCGTGCCACGGAGCCCCGTTTTGAGAAGCGCAAATCCAACAGAACTGCCACGATAAGGCTATAAACCGGGCAAACTGTGTGCGAGATTAGCCCACCGTTCACGCGATGTGCCCGCGTTTACGTTCGCAAAGCCATCCGGAAGTCCCCTTCCACGAATTAGGCAAATCAGCGCGCGCTTTTGGACCGGAAATTGTGTAGAAAACGATCGGCGGTCGTATAATGGGCGACATGCATGCCATTGGAACCTATTACGTATGTGCGTTCGATGTTTGCCTAACGTTGCTTCATTTTGCGGAGGACATTGGAGCAACTTAGTTTGAGGCTACAGTTCAGCATATATCTGAATGATGCGGTCTTATCGCATTAAATTATGAAGCGAATGAACACATAAGCACGCCTCAGTGTATACGCGGCACCAAATGACTAAGCGAATTTTCATAATCGCAGCGACATTTCAGAGGGCGGCACGACTCGATTGCTGAATGTGCTGGGACTGGTATATAATCCGTTAGTACAAGTATTTTCGACCGCTGCCCAGACAACACAGAGCCATCCTTTGGATTTCCCTAGGATGCACTGCTTAGGATGTGTGGGAACTTCTAAGGATGTCCCAAATATTTCCCGGAAACCTCCATGAAGGCTCCAAAATGAGACAAAAACGAGATCCTTAGGACATCCCGCACGTAGGACACCTTGGGATTATAATGGGATTATATTTGGATGTTGCACACTCCACTTTATCCAGAAATTACCAGTACATGCAGCATTTGAAGGACGCGTGCTAGTTAGTAGAAATAACTGTCTTTTTGAAAGTCTTGCATTTATTTTCATGTTTTTAATACCCCTTAATGTACTCTTCCAGCGATGCAATGCACTCCTGATTTTCCACGTGACTGTAGGCTTATAACACGTTCAGTGGTTCTTTGCTTGCTGTTTTGCAAATCTTGAAAACACTGCTCCATTATGTGTTTTCATCTGTTTATTTAATATGTGTATATTTATGAAGGGTTGCGCAAGTTCTATATATATGTACAGGTGCGTTAAAATGATAGCTGGAAATGTACACTAATTCATGAAGGAATGTGCATATATGAGAATATCAGTAAGTAGAATAATTGAAACTGCGTGGGATGATATATACCATGTCCATTAAACATCCCATAAGAGGACATGAATGGGTGGATGCATGCAGATCTCACACATGCATCCACCCATTCACGTCCTCTTCTGGGATATTTAATGGACATACGTTCGCTGAAGTCTACAAGACATCCATACGACTTCCTTTATTGGATGTGGGACTTAGGTACTTGTTTGGGGCATCCTTAGGACTTTTTGTGTTGTCTGGGTGTTGAGTTCCGCCGTGTTGAATTCCGCTTTATTGGCACCTTTGAACTACTCACAGACGCTTTAGCATCCTGATGGTTCAATAAAACCGGTGGCAATGGTGGAATTTTATTCAAATCCTGGACAAAGCATCCGCGGCCCAAAGAGGAACGTCGATGCACTTTCCGTCAGCCAACTGTCCAAGGCAGTGACGCATCTAACTGGTTTCAACTGGTATCAGCTGGCCCATGTTGGGAACTAACTGGTCCCAGGCGATTTCAGTTGCAACTGGTTCCAGTGAGCAACTGGCACCAGTTACAACTCCATTGGTTCCAGTAGGGCACTGACTGGTCCCAGCTGATCTCAGTTGCAACTGGTTCCATTTAGCAGCTGGTATAGTGACATTGTCTTAGTTGGAAAAGTACATAGCGCAATAACAATAACACTACGGCCTGTTCTACCACTGTTTTAGCCACGCAGGACTACCACAATAATGTTATGTGTCGCTGGTGTTGCATTCCAGAAATCGCCACTACCGGAAAGCAAGATACCATATGTCATCTCGCTTCATCTTAATTTTTTTTTTCATTCATCGTGACCTATGTTGTAATTTATCCTTTGGACACAACCAACTGGGGGAGGAGGGAGGACGCTGCAGGGAAACTTTTACTCCCCCTCCTCCATAAAGGGATACCCTGCGCACGCGTATGGGTGCGCGCGATGTGCGTTTTGGAACAAGTCAAGTGTAACAAGAACTCCAAAGAAACGTCAGAGTGTTCGTTTGATTGCGCATGACTTTTTAATAAGGTGTTTCCAGCACCATAGTGAGAATTATTAAATTAAAATATCTTCACAGAGAGTAGTATGTATACACCCATTCTGATGTGAATGTATTCAGTAGGTTTGACGTCATTCGTCAAACACGCAGAGTTGGCGACCAGGACTCGGGGAAGAAGAAGCCGCTAGACAGCAGCCAAGAGAAGAACAGCACAGCTATGGTGATGAGCAGCAAGAACTCGACGCTGGGCTTGGTAAGCAGCGTCCCCTTGCCGTCGCTCGAGGCGGTAAAATCAGGACCCGTGCAGAGCGCGCTGCGCACGCGCTGTTCGTAGCCCAAGATGGCGTCCCGCGCCCCGGGCCAAGTGTGCGGTCCTTGTAGACGGTACTGGTACGACAGGCTGGGACCGACCAGCAGCCGGTATGCGAGCTGCGGGTCTTTGAGGGCGAGGCGTGCCAGGTTGGGCTTGACGCCGATCTCGTTGGCCAGCTGCGAACAGATGGGAAATAAGGCTAAACAGATAGTTTGACTAGTTGGTTGGGATTCGTCGCAGATGAAGGTTGACGCGCAAAAAGAGGCGCAATAGAAAAAAAATAGACAGCACAAACGCGACCTATCAAGCGAAATGTTCATACATTGTGTGGGAAAGAAGGTAGAGCAAAAAACGCATTTTCGCTTGCTGTGAAATGACGGCTTCATCCTTCAATCTGCGGAAGTTCTCTTGAAACCCTTTTCAACGGTTACGTTTTTTTTTGTCTGCTCATATAGGCATAGTTTAAGAAGTATAATTTAAGGTACTCACAAATCAACGATAAAGTCAGCTATCGCACTGACTGTGTCGTCATCACCATCGTCGTCATTTATGCATTTACCTTAGGGACATTTAACCGGGCATTATACACAAGGTGAGGGAATCTAACAGCGTTGATGCTGTATATAATAGAGCGAATGATGGAGCAAAGGAGCCAACTACGTAAGAAAAAGTATAGAGCACACAGGAGAAAGTAAGGCTTCAGCATCCATCTTCGCCAAAAAGAAAAAAAAAAGAAAGCTTCCATCTTTTGCTACGGAAACGTATACACTTATTGACAGGACATAACTAACACGTACGCATCTGAAACAACTTAACTCATAATGAGATAACAACGATCAAATATATATAAGGCGCAGCATTTGGTGACAAACCGGAAGTTTTTGCCTATCGCGAGACTGTATTGATTTGTAATGAGGGCACAATAATAACTGATAATGCATTGTCAACACACAAAGGTTTCCTATGAATTATCGGAACTCAATGATAAACTGCATTATTTGGGGCATATTCACACCACACGTCAGATTTACAAGACACAATTGTAAGCGTGTGCGTGTACACTCGGCGCTTCTCAGAGCGCAGATGGTTTCGCTTCGTGACACAAAGAACGGCGGATGAGAATCATTTGTAAAATTTTAACGGATATTACGCTGTTCGCTACTTCCGATCACATTCGCGCAAGGTTACTTTTCTTTCCCGCACGAGTTGCAGTGAGACAAAAAACAAAAACCAAAAAGAATGTAAGAGGATCGCCGCGCGATTTCCGCCGCGAAGCCCTCTCGGTTCACGTTTTCCGCCGTCCTTGTCGGTCGTTTTTCGCTTCGGTGGAACGTGACCTAGAAAAAATATATATCACTCGCATCTTTTTTCTTGATTTTCGCAGGAAGCAGACTCACCACCGTATTCACAAACGCTCCTCGACTCGACTTCACCCTTCACTTGACAGAGTTGAGCACTGCGCCCCCGCTCGGCTGACAATGACACTGCGCTACTTAATAATTGCAGCAGATTATTGCCGATATGCAGTGACTTGCCGTGCCTAGAGACGGCGCTCCCGTCGGCTTTTCAAGTGAAGGTGAAGCGTTGAGTGAAGAAACGTTCTAGAACACGGGGGTCAGCGTCTGCGTAAGGTAGAAAGAACGTGGCGCCGGCGTTTCTTCCATGCGCGTTTGCCAGTTGAACACGCGCGAGTTCGTTATTGCGAGAGGATGCGAAATGGCTGCGCCCGACGAGCAGTGGCGAGCAATACCGGTCTCGAGTCGCGCCTTGTTGCGGGCGTTGTCCGTGAGTCGTGTCGGCGCGCGAGATCGTCGGCTTCACTTGTTTCAATATGCTACCCGTGTTCTCGTGACAGCGTTGGTATCGCGATTGAATACTGAAGAGCACGTCCACTCCAGGCCACCCCATGGAATTTCCAGTAACGCTTTTGTGGCGTGCAAAGCTCCGGAGCTGCTTTGCCATGGGACCTGAATATCTGCCAACTCCAAGTTTGAGTCGCGTTGTAGTTCTAAGGCCGTCTTCAGGGACTGCCTGTCTAGTGCGTATTTCGCGCGTTCGCAGAAAATGTGATTATAGGAGAATATATTGGACACAGAATGGCGAGCCTGACAGTCCAATTTCGTTCCCGAAGCCTTCCGCTAGTGCAAAATGAAATAGATCACAATAACATCTAGTTCAGCGATGTATTCATTATTCGTAAATATATTTATATTTCAAAAACAAACACACATTATATATATATATATATATATATATATATATATATATATATATATATATATATATATATATATATATATATATATATATATATCTTTTCACCCACTTTTCTTCATATTTACATTACGATTTGGTTTAATATCTTCCCCTATACTTTCCCTGGCATTATTGTCTGTTAGATCTCATTAATATTGTGTAAAAACACAGAAAAACGAGCCCTTAGGTATGCACTTCTTTCCTTATTCATTAACGAGGGTCTGGTACTGGTAGACCTAGTGCCTTTAGGTTGCACACGAGGGACTATTGGTCAGCTGCCCACTCGTAACTAAGTCACGTGCTACGTGACGCCAAACAGGCTCAAAAGAGTGAGCCACACTCGCCGCCATGGCTACTGGTGGCGCTGACTGACACTCCCACGTTTAATTCACATATAAACCCTATTAAGTGGCTGGGGGGATAGCTGTCGTGGTAGCTCAGTGGTAGAGCATCGAACGCGTCATTCGAAGGTCGCAGGTTCGGATCCTGCCCACGGCAAGTTATCTTTTCACCCACTTTTCTTCATGTTTACATTACAATTTGGTCTAATATCTTCCCCTATACTTTCCTTGGCATTATTGTCTGTTAGATCTTACATATATAAAGAGTGAAAGAGAGAGCACTGATATGTCAACAGTCTCGAGCGTAGATGTGAAATCATTTTTAATGCTGATCACGAAGCTACAAGAAGCCTTGAAAGTACAAATTCCCAACATTGATGAAACGTTCTTGAAGGCCAGCCAACCACGTCACTGGTTGACGTGAAGGTCACTTTTGATAGTCTGATATTTTTACTCGAGTTTCCTGTACGTCACTGGTGCATGCTTTGCTTACTTGTGCGAAGTAATTATTTGTTACGTCTCACTGCGCGATCTAATTATTTGTACTGCACTGATTGTTGAGGAAATAGCTGTTCTTATTGCTTAGCCACTGACGTACGGGTAATTACCGGTTGGTATATGCCTGCTGTGATGTTTCTGCTGCTCGTATTACATGAATAACACTGATTACCTCTGTTTTATTGTTTCAGTACATGTGATTACCTCTCGCTGCGACGAGATATAGCAAAGATCCGAGTGTTTTGTTGTCTCGTAAGCTTTCCAGAAGGATCAACGCGTGCTGATGCGGAAACATGATAGGCCGGACCAAATGTTATGTTGATAGCCTGCCGTCTGGACTATGGTCATTGTATAGATTTTCGATCTTTTCGTCCACGATTAATTTTGAGTTGAGGACTATCAGGCGCCGAACAAGTGCAAAAGCCTTGTAGTTTTGAAGTTTAGACGAGGATGATGACGACGATGCCGACAACAACGACAAAAACGACAGCATGCAACGACAATAAGAAGCTATAATTCACTAATTCATAAACACTAGTCTTACGACACACAATACACACATGCTTATAAAATTTAAGGTCAATTGTCTATGTACCAAAAAGAAAAAAAAAGAGAGGGAGAAAGAAAAAGCAATTTGTAAATCAGTGTTATGTGGAATATTTCTAAATTTGCTGGTATCCAGTATCTGTTGACATTCTGCAATGAGCGTATGGCGCGAACGAGGCCGACTGCACACATGTATTGCACATGGCACGTTTCTGCACAACTTTAAAGCTGTAATCGCACTAACGCTCAGATTGACGTTAGCACGAGATAGTTCTATTGAACTGACGTTTAAAAGAGACGCCAATCAAGGCTAGACGAAAAAATTGGGGGACCCTTAAGCTTCGCCTTTAAGAGTTGAACGCGATAGTGAAATCCAGACCCTAGTGCACCCTTCAACCGCTAAGTGCATACTTATTAATACGTTTTGTTACATACACATGGAGGCACACAAACACGCACACAGTAGGTTAGACCAGTGCACGCTATTATCGCCGAATGGGCTCGTTTTCGTCGTGACACCTGTCGAACAAATGCGTTAAAGGGGTCCTGAAACACTGTTTCAAGTAACCGTGAAATGAGTTCTCTAGAAGAGCTTATTGCCTCACGAATTCAAAGCCGCAAAAATTTTAAAAATCCATCCACTGCGAGTGGAGTTACAAAGGTTTGTCGCATGCTGCAATTGCATTATATCTTCTCTCGCACCGACAAAACCGCTGGAAGCTAAGTAGGGAGGGGTGGCAGGGCAAAGAAACTACCGCGCCTCGTGACCTTGAGCATTTTTTCTTCTTCGAAAGCGCGGCTTTTTCAGTGTGATCATGCGCGCACGCGTGGACAAGTAGCGGCCTCCCGTGGCAATCTCGGTAACTTGATTTTTCGGTCACAGATGCACAGACGATTTTTCTCTCACAACCAACGGGGCCAACGTCGGCGGCGGGTTTTCTGCGACACGAGCTTTCTAACGTTATCGCGTTAAAACGTGCCTATACACCGACCAACATGTGCGAAGATGGCTCGCAGTAATGGGCAGTGACGCACGAGTACCTCGCATGGGGACAGAGGTTCGTCGAGTCTGCAATGAAAGCCGAAATCCAAGATGCAATCGCAAAACTTCGAGAGTCCCCGAGGGAGTCGTAGTCTGATGTTATCTGCTGTACATTACCGTCGCTGGAGCACATAGGCGTGAACACTGAAGAGGCAGCGGAGGGAGGGGGGGGGGGGCGCTCTTGCCTTTCCTTTTTGCATGAAGTCTAACACTGAGTCGTTAAGTCGTAAATTGACTTGTGCCGTTACACAACATACCCTTGAACAAGAGTGTACCCCCAAACTCTCTCATCGCCAGAAGTCTGTTCCGAGGTGTGTGTGTAGAAGTGGGTGATGAAACCTTAAGCCACCTGCCTGACTCAACGCCACTGCTGCCACCCAGGCTTTGTTCTATTTAAAGTTCACGAGGATGGCATGGGGGTCAGTTGATTTTGGTATATATATATCTAGAAAGTTAGGTTACAGCGCACATGGACGGGGACAAAATTTCCAGCGTGTGTCTTGCTTCTTCTTCATTCTGTGCCCGTATTTGTGTATTCGAAGTTACTTCACAAGATACTGGAAACTGAGCATATCGTTTGGTTCAATGAGTGCTTGACCCTGTCTTCTTTTTCGGTGTCCTTGTTTTTAGCGTTGTTTTACAGTCGTGAAGACTACAAACTAGCTGTACGTACACATGCACATCAAAACATATCTATAAGATACATCCTTCGGAACGGCCACCATTTCTTCAAGAGCCAACTACCCACTGATTGTTCGTATGTTTTTCTTTCTATTTGCGGCCACGCCTAGCGCATGCAGCCTTACCGCTTAACTCTTCAAGCACGGTCACCATCGTTGCCAGAAGAAAATACGACAAACTCAAGACCAGCAAAATTACATAGTACAGGCGCACAATGCGCGTGGCACGTGTCTCTTAATAGCCGACCACCACAACAGAGGGAAAATGCTCAATAATTTATGGAAAGTGGGGAGCATCACGCTATGCGAGATTAATTGACATTTAAACTCTGCGCTCATCCAGACGAATGCCAAGTTCAGTTGGTAGTCAGCGCTCGTGTTGTCCTCTTTGCCTTCCGTGCCTCGCCTTTCGTCTGTTTCTTCTAGCACCTTCGTGCTCGTGCTGCAGCCCTTATTACCATGAATGCCAAGAAACTTTCCTTCGCACGACAGGCCTTTTGCACGGCTTCTGGTATTCCGGTAACGGCGATATTCAAATATTCATGCTCGCTAAATGTTTCATCGTTTGTCAAGTGACGGAGGTTACCGTTTATAGCTGCCAGAATTAGACAGCAGTCATGCGGGCTGTGTTAGTGGTTACTAATGACTCTCAGTGGCGTCCGTGTTATAGGTTCACGTCGTGTTCCTTAATAGTGGCCGTAGCCATCAAATGTACTTCAATAGGACGAGTGGTAAACAACTGTCAGCCGCGGTGCATCTTCAGCGGCCTACTTAAATAAGTTGCATCTTCGGGTTGACTGTAACAAGCTGGACAAGTGCTCATAGAAGACGTACCTCGTGAACGCCTTGCAAAGCCTTGCTGAGGTGGTTCAGCCCTTGCGTGAATAATAAATTTAACGAGGCAGTGGACACGCACGAAGAAAGCACGCTTCTTCGACCGTACACTGAGTGGTGTCAAGCATGTCAATTCCTTCACCAAATGTCGATCTAATGTCGTTTATTGTATCCCACTGTCTTGCGGCAGGTTATACATTGGGCAGACTGGGCGCTGCTTGAATATTCGCCTGCGAGAACACTACAATGCGCTGAAATCAGCCCCGGGTTTACATTTGCCCGCCCATTCCAAAAAAGTGTGGCTGCGTACCTGATTTTTCGCGCACATCTGTCTTACACAGCCATCATGACATGAAAACCATAGAGAGATTGCGGAAGCCTTTTTTATTAAAAAGAATATTGATAATTGCGTTAGTTCACCGTCTATATCACTGTTACATTGCGAAATATCGTGGCTGATGGGGAATGAGAGACAGGAGCATTCGGCTTTTAGTTAACGCGCACGCTGCGATCCTCATTAGCAGCCATTGGCATGTACATTGAGCACTATCTGACAGGAAAAGGTTGCTGCGTTATACTCGCTGGGCGTAACCTCCTTGGTTTTAGAAAGGTTTAGCTTCTCTTCCTCCCTTTCCCCTTTTTTTTTGTCTCCCCTTACCCCTTCCCCAGTGCAGGGTAGCAAACCGGATATGTTTTCTGGTTAACCTCCCTGCCTTTCCGCATTAAATTTTCTCTCTCTCTCTCTCTCTAGCGAGCGTTGGGCCGCAGTGCCATGAGTACAGTGAACTAGTATATACCATGAACTCGAGGTGGTTAAAGGTGGGAAGTAGACCCAAAGCGCAAGCCGTAAGAAAGTGTGCGTGTGCCACCTCTCGTTTAGTCCTTGGAATGTCCGCTGGATGGCGGTGCTTCTATATGGGGAATATATGATGAAAAGATGCGAGATGGTGGTACTTGGAGTGTTGAATAGATGGACGAACGGACACACAGACAGATGCATGGATGGACGCATGAATGGACGCATGAACGGACGCAGGGGCGGATGTATGGACGAACGCAGGGACGGACGCACGAACAGACGCACGCACGGACGGGCGGATGGACGCATGGATGGTCACACAGATGGACGCATGGACGGACGGAAGCAAGAACGAATGGACGGACGAATACTTCGCCCCACTCTCCATCATTCACTACGTGGATATGCTGCCAATTTTTTGGCTAAGTCGCCAGGACGTTTCGAAAAGTCGCTAAACGATGATGATAACTTTTCCCGATTCTTTAGTTTTGGAATTTATGAAAAGCGTGAAGAGAATGTTTTTCATTTAAACAATATTTTAAATCAATTTCTGTTGTGGCGAATGCAGTTGGGCTGCGCTGCTTCCTCCTGGCTACGCACTGTGAACCTGTGAGCAGCTTTAGTACAGTATAGGGTTGACAGGCGGGCTAGTTGGTACAAATTCATAATGGAATAATTGGAAGCGCAAACCGACGGGACAACAAGAGAAGAGACAAACAAGCGCCGACTGAAACTCAGTTTATTCAGAGAAGAAATTATATACCAGAAAGATGAAAAAGGGAAACAACTGGGGAGAAGGTTCCACCTAGATCAGGTGTCGTCCAGAAACGATATTTCACAATCTAACAGTGATATAGACAGTGAACTAACACAACTATCAATATTCTTTTTAATAAAAAAGGCTTCCGCAATATCTCTAGTTTTCATGTCATGATGGCTGTATAAGACAGATGTGCGCGAAAAATCAGGTATGCAGCCACACTTTTTGCAATGGGTGGGCCCGGGGCTAATTTCAGCGCATTGTAGTGTTCTCGCAGGCGAATATTCAAGCAGTGCCCAGTCTGCCCAATGTATAACCTGCCGCAAGACAGTGGGATACAATAAACTGAGTGGTGTCAAGCATGTCAACTCCTTCACCAAATGTCGATCTAATGTCGTTTATTGTATCCCACTGTCTTGCGGCAGGTTATACATTGGGCAGACTGGGCGCTGCTTGAATATTCGCCTGCGAGAAGACTACAATGCGCTGAAATCAGCCCCGGGTTTACATTTGCCCGCCCATTCCAAAAAGTGTGGCTGCGTACCTGATTTTTCGCGCACATCTGTTTTATACAGCCATAATGACATTAAAACTAGAGAGATTGTGGAAGCCTCTTTTATTAAAAAGAATATTGATAGTTGTGTTAGTTCACCGTCTATATCACTGTTAGATTGTGAAATATCGTTTCTGGACGACGCCTGATCTAGGTGGAACCTTCTCCCCAGTTGTTTCGCTTTCTCATCTTTCTGGTATATAATTTCTTCTCTGAATAAACTGAGTTTCAGTCTGCGCTTGTTTGTCTCTTCTCTTGTTGTCCCGTTGGTTTGCGCTTCCAATTATTCAGCTTTAGTACGTTCGTTCGCGGTGAACCGTGACTCCATGAGCCGTTCAATTGAGTCGGTTTAGTTAACTAACTGTAACAGAAGAAGCGCACTCGGAACGGCCACATTGCCCGCTGGAGACCACAGCACCACAATCATATTGATCCTGTATTCATTGTTATCATTTATTGAAGCTCGTTGCAAGCATTTCACTATTCTCACAGTTTCCTAATTTTTCATGTCCGTTTTTTAGAACACTGTAGGTGAAATTGTCGCTAGCACGACTGAGAAGACGTTAAATTTAGCGAATTGTTCGCCAAGTTATCACCACTGACACACACACACACATTGAGGCTCATTCAGTTGTGATATTCGTATGTGACGTCAACGTAAGGCCGTATTTCGATTTGATTATCTTTTCAAATACCACCAGAGACAGAACATTAACTCTGATTAGTTTAACAGAGCGCAGAGGCTAATGAAGCGTACCAGTCGTGACGTGCATCGTCAATAATGTAACTAGCTGAGGTCATTCATTCCGTTTCATTACACGTACCTATCCATCCAATCCATATATCTTAGTCATCACACCCAATATATTCAATAGATTCCATGCCATTCCATCGCATTCTACCTACACATTCTATTGCATTGATCAGTCCTATATATCCTAAGGGAAAGCGACGGAGAGATTGCACAACGCTGTAGTTACCTCATCCAGGTAGTCGATCCAGTCGACCTGCAGCGTGTGTCGGGGTTCCTGGTAGTATCGTTGCCTGCAACGCTCCTGGTACTCATTCACCTGCGCAACAAGGTGAGACAGCGCAGGACGTCAGGCGGCGGCTCGAACATAAAATACCTGTCAGTTGCCGAGACGCGCTAGCCCCGTAACGTTTTTTTTTTCTTTTCTGGCTGTATACCTGGCGCGTGTCTTCCTTCCGGGAAACAGGTATTTCTGAAGCTGTCAGCCTGCAACCATACATTGATATCTCGTATATGCGGTCTGACACATGCTCTATTGCGATGACCTCGATACGCCACAGTAATAACCTCGGCAGGGTTTTTTGCATATGGAGAGCGGCAATGTTTCGCAAAGGATAAAAAAAAAAAGAAATAAAGTTATGGCCAGTTTAACCACAGTGATTTGCTTTTGGTGTCTGGCTTTGAGGAAGTAGCAATGGAAAACAAACAGTTCTTTGGACGCAACACCGGGGTCTTTTCACTGCCTTCATCGCCACAAATCTGCGTAGCCATGAGACAAAACAATGACGCGACAGTTCATACTGAGTATCTGTGTTACACAAAACAAGATAACGTTTATCAGTACGTATACAGTCGTTCACGAAGGTTAGCTGCCCGCAAAGACCACAATAGCGCATACGCATCACCTGATTGATTGATATGTGGGGTTTAACGTCCCAAAACCACCATATGATTACGAGAGACGCCGTAGTGGAGGGCTCCGGAAATTTTGACCATTTGGGGTTCTTTAACGTGCACCCAAATCTGAGCACACGGGCCTACAACATTTCCGCCTCCATCGAAAATGCAGCCGCCGCAGCCGGGATTTGAACCCGCGATCTTCGGGTCAGCAGCCGAGTACCTTAGCCACTAGACCACCGCGGCGGGGCTACGCATCACCTGTATCGAACACGATTTGCGAGACTGTCCTTTTCAAAGGCGAACTCTTGTCGTCGCGCTAGCAGATATTGACGACAGATCAACACCAGCAGTCCTTTTGAAATTACGACATTCTAAAATGACTTCAGACATTGGTGGGTTGTCAAGGGGCGCTATGTTTGCTGATTTCGGGGGTCATAAACTAGCACCCCCCCCCCCCCCCCGATGTACTTTAATAATTGGTAGGTGTATGTGTACAAGTACTGAAAGGCGAATCCTCCCCCCCGCCCCCCACCACATTAACTTTTTTTTCAGTTTTCCTTACAAGCGCACATACAAACACAGGCGCGAACATATATGAAGGGTGGTTGATTAGCCTTTCCTTGACGCACACACAAACATACATAAAATTATGAAAAAAGCAACGGAATTACAGCCATATCAGCACTTGTTCGGATGGTTAAGTATGAAATACTTTATTGAGGTCCCGATTGCGTGTCGCGACGCGAAGCAAGCCGTTTACAAGTATTTAGAGACCGAAAACGCGTGACATAAAAATGTCCACGTGGAGAGGGCACGCGTTTGGCACAAAGTCACAGCTTTTCGCGACAGAGTGAAGTAAAAAAGGCTTACACAACAAGAAGACCTTGGAAATGTCTATTACCTCGAAAGATAGTTGGTGCCTAAGATGACTTCCGCTCTTCAATGCCTCGGTAAGTCACGTGGTCTCTACTGGCTGCTGCGCAGTTCGATTGTTTACAAGCGTTTAAGCGTGTTTATTTCGAGCACTACCGATACGACGTGCCCATAGATAGCTGCTAAGTGCAGGCGTGGGAAATTCTCAAGAGCTGAACGACGCACGAATAGCCGGTCAGTTGCTATTATTGCCGCTCGTATACAAACGTTGTGGTTGTTGTTGTTCGGCGGCTGTCAAAGCGTTCCGCATGCAGATCGATATTACAGTATACAAACAATCGTGCATACTTACGCAACCAACGCCTAAGCGAAGGACGTATCAGACACGCCGGTTCCCAAGAAAGCGGAGCCAACTTCCCATGCGGGCCTCGGCTTTCAAGGCAATCGAGCTTTGCGTATTATACTCGCGATGCGATAAAATGTAACGATGCGCGTGAAAAAAAAGAAAGAAAGAAAAGAAGTAGAAGTTTGTTCTGCTACGACTCTTCGCCAGGTGAAGGTTTTTAATTTTTTTTTTCATCTTTCGCGCAGGCTGTAAATGAGAGTATTAGAACAAGAGGAAGTCGGGAATCAAATGTCGCGACGTATCGAAAGCAAGGTCTGCCTGTGCGCGCGCGTGCTTGCATGATTTGAGATTTCGAAATGAACGTGATTACCGAGACATTTGCTTACGAAGATTAACTAGCTCCACGTCAGCGACTTTGCATGTACGACGGTTCCTCCCACAGAAAACGCAAGAAGCTGGGACGTACGTTACTTTCACACGAGAAAGCTTTTCTTTGTTATAGGCGCGATATTTCATGCAGCACGCGTGGGGTGTCGCGACAACAGCAACAGCAGTCACCATGCCTGCACTTAAACCGCTGTTAATGACAAAACATTGCGTTAGACGTTTCAACATGGCGAGTTTTTGGGGTGGTCATTGGAAGCATTCGACTTTCGCATTCAGGCTCCGCTGATTCCCATTATCGGGAGATATAAGCACATTCCTCCCATTCCTCCATTATTAAAATCGCAATTTAGCTGTAACAGAAATTCTGCATTGTCAATAATAATAATAATAATAATAATAATAATAATAATAATAATAATAATAATAATAATAATAATAATAATAATAATAATAATAATAATAATAATAATAATTTCATAATATCTTGGGTTACACGCCCTAAAACCACTATATGATTTTGAAAGATGCTGTCGTTGAGGGCTCAGGGAATTTTGATGATTTGGTGTCTGTTTTTGTTTTTAACCTGCGCTGGCATCACACAGAACACGGACCATGTCACCTCCATTGAAATGGGATCACCGCAGCTTGGATCGAACACGAAAACTTCGCGTGAGCAACCTAGGACCTTAAACCACTGCTTCGCCGCGGCGGAACCATGCAGTTTTCGCGTGCGTCTAAACATCGTCGTGAAGACCCTTCTTGTACTTTGCCCCTCACGCAGGTGACAATATCTCTCCGTTCCTTCTTCGCGCTCAGGATGCGATTCTACGCAGCCCCAGCCTCAATGAGCAGCTGAGCAATGAGATGAGGACTGTCCAATTGGCCCGCGACGCGATAGAAAGGTCTCCAGCCGTCCGTTGCGTGCTATACCGCGCGCAATAGAACCGAAATAAATTTTTTCATAAATTAATTTATCACGAGGCAATATGTGTTGTATAGTAGTGGTGGTAGTGGTAGTGGTTAGAAGAGGAAGAAGGCGCCTAATTTCTGCAGCCCCGTAGGGAGCACCATAGTGTTTACTAATATACACTAGAAGGAACTCTGGCGCTAGTGTCGATGGTAGCTGCAACGCACGGCGCTACAGTGAGCGTGGGAATGATGGGTAGTACACACATTTGTCTAACGTTTGTACTTCTGGCCTGATTTTGCCTCCGAGTGTGTTCGTGTGACTTGGAGCTGTTTTTTCACGAAAACAAAATAGCAAATGTTCAGCGTTGGCGTTTCACAACCTTATTTTTTCAGGCTTTACATTTTTAATCGGGTCACAAAGTTCAAAAGGGTTCTTTCTTTCCTTCAAAACAAAACCGTAACCAGCAATAAACGAAGCCGCAAGTACGATTCACCACCCGCAAGTAGGCAAATCGGTGTACTACCCAACATTCCCATGGTCGCTGAACGATCGCAGCGCCAGAGTTCCCTCTAGTTAATTTTAGGAAACTCTATGGGGAGCATGGTGCAGCGCCTATATAGTAATGGCGGCCGAGGACAGTAAAGGAGAAGTGGGACCACGAGCACCTGTCGCCACATGTCCTTCGCACTGGGCAGGGTCACTTTGCCTGCAAACACCCTGGCCGCCCATCGGCTCTGCAGCTCGGAGATGGGCAGCAGGGCGCCGATGGGCTGCGCCAGTCCGATGAGGGCGAGCCCCGGTCGCTCAGGGTGGGAACACCAGCCGGTAGACGGCCACCTGGTTGTCGTCGGACACGTCGAGCACGCCGGGCGCCATGTACGGGAACGAGACGCGGTAGCCGGTCGCCAGGATGACGTCGTCGACGCGAAGGGGCTCGCTACCCGGCGGGTCGTCCTCGAAGAGCACGCCGTCTTCTGTGAACTCCTTCACTTGTCCTGCACCGGGGAAGGCATGCGTATAAAAAGACCGATTAAGAATGCCGCCGAATCGCCACGCCGTTAACAAAACGATATGGATTTCTCCCGTACTGAGCAAACATATGGAGCATTTCGGATTTTCGTGAGCGGCTTACTTTTAATGCGAAAGTGTTAGATGCGTCATCAAACGCGGAAAATTGACCGTCGGCGACGGCAGGCGAAACAAGACTGATAAAAAAATTCGTCACCGACACGGTGACGTCACAGATCACGATGACGTCACCAGAGAGAACTGTCTTTTATAGTTTGGCTCACCAAAGATGTTCGAACTGCACGTAAGAAGAAGACAGCAAGTGAGAACGCAATATAGACCAGATTATTTTTACTCTCGCACCCAAGTGTAGAGCCAGCATGGACAATATTGACCTCAGTCGTGATCTGTCGGATTGATTGATCGATATGTGGGGTTTAACGTCTGAATACCACCATCTGATTATGAGAGACGCCGTAGTGGAGGGCTCGGGAAATTTTGACCACCTGGTGTTCTTTAACGTGCACCCAAATCTGAGCACACGGGCCTACAACATTTCCGCCTGCATCGGAAGTGCAGCCGCCGCAGCCGGGATTCGAACCCGCGACCTGAGGGTCAGCAGCCGTGTACCTTGGCCACTAGACCACAGCGGCGGGGCATGATCTGTCGGTGAGGCCAGCGTATACGGGCTGCGAAATGGTTACGTCTCAGTCAAGGCAAGCGAATACTGGTGATCACGACGCGATAAGAACAGGCTAGATGCCAACGTAGTCGTCCTATCTACGCAATCAGCAGCTCCATAGCAATGATGGCTGGCCCCTGCAGGTGATGAGAATCTCTCTTCTATGGAACACGCACACACGTGCTTCAGGCGTGTGCCTGTTGCTGTATACGTTGCTGTCCTTTTAGCGCCCCCGCTTAAACTTGATTGCTGAATCTATGAAGCCAGCCTAACAACATGCGACACGTCCATAGTGTATACGCAGGCCTCCCCTCCAGGGGGGGCGAAGGTTCGTCGCAGCACCTCCTCCCTATTGCGTCAATGTATGAGGCTTACTTTTGGTCCCCCCCCCCCCTCATTTATGTGACTAGGGGGGGGGGCGCCTCCCCCCTGTACACTCCCCGTGCGTTGCTTGAAAGGTTGACGTTAAAAACCTGGTGAGACGCGCCAAGATTTCGCAGGGCGGATGACTGAGAACTTCGGAAATAGAAGGTGGTTTTCGCCTTTGAGACCTCTTTACGAGAATGCATTAAAATGAGCCGGCGAGTTTCTGTACAGTGCAAACCACACGATATATTTGTTGTAATTAATTGCAAACAACATTCGCACCTTTCCTTATTAGCCATCGAAAAAATGCGATTTTCAACACACCATACGTATAATGAGCGCGACGCGACTCACAATCCAAGGAGCCCCGCCGCGGTGGTCTAGTGGCTAAGGTACTCGGCTGCTGACCCGCAGGTCGTAGGATCAAATCCCGGCTGCGGCGGCTGCATTTCCGATGGAGGCGAAAATTCTGTGGGCCCATGTGCTCAGATTTGGTTGCACGCTAAAGAACCCCAGGTTGTCGAAATTTCCGGAGCCCTCCACTACGGCGTCTCTCGTAATCTTATGCTGGTTTTGGGACGTTAAAGTCCACATATCAATCAATCAAATAAATCAATCAATCATGATCCAAGGAGCCAGGCGCCTCCTGAAATCATGCCACAGAGCGATGCGCCACACCGGAGATACCAGATCTGATTGGACAAATGTGAATGCTAATTTTAGCAGCCATTGGCAGATTGCAGGACAGCAAATACGGCACCAAATCAAATGAAGATGCTTTTATCTCGTGCGAAAGAGCAATGTTAGAGTGTGATATGTATTTTTTAACGGTTACTTCTTGAGTCTTTCATGTTTTCTTTTTTTTTGTCACTCGCGAATACAGAGTCGTAAACCAGAGCATTACTCCTGATTAACCTCCTTGCGCTCCTCCCCTCACACTTACCGCTAATGCTTGCAATGTACCCACGTCTGTACATTCCTGCCACACTAATTCTTTCTTTCTTTATTTATTTCTTTATTTATATTAGGAATTATTAGTAATAATTGTTGGGGTTGAACGTCCCAAAATCCCGTATGGTTATGAGAGACGCCGTATATAGTGGAAGACTCTGGAAATTTCGACCACCTGGAGGTCTTTAACGTGCACCTAACTCCAAGCACGCGAGCCTCATTATATCACGAATTGAGAAACGCAGATGCCGAGCTATCACCTATAAGTCGTAGAAAGACCTCGAAAAATTCGTCACGTCTTTTTACTATTGAACTGCGAGTTTACAGCATGTTTTCTTGCCCCAGCCGTGAGAACCACCAGGGCCCGTACTCACAGAAAACACTCGCGCCACAATCGTTCGTAAGTGAAAAGTTCGGCGAATTCCAATGCCTGACGTACTGTTACCTTACGTATAGCTATGGTCCAAGATGGTGAGCACTTGCGAAAGAAAGTCTTGTGAATACTGCAGTCACGTCAAATATATGCGACTGCTTGGCACGTACAAGTAGCATAATATGACCAAGGGTGTAATACCTTTTATGCACACGGTGCCAGACAGTATGCGGTTGGGCAGTGCGTCGTTCACCATCGGGTGCTGGCCGAAGATGCGGTGCTTGGGTTTCAGCCGGTAGGCGGCGTGGTCGAAGCGCTGGTTGATGGCGCTCTCGCAGATCAGGCAGATCAGCTCGTACGGCAGCAGGTGCATGAAGGTGTTGAGCAGCCGCGTCTGGTAGTACGCGTCGAACGGCCGGCCCCTCGGACCCACGCGGCCGATCACCCACGAGCCGCGACGGGTGCTCAGCCACACCTGCGATTGTCAACCAGCCATCGTCACGTGTGCTCATTCATTAAACACATAGGTGCGCTATCATTCGACAAAGCGGAAAGGGAAAACAGCGTCTGAAACATAATCATGGCTTCTGAAGAGGAGCTTTTCAAGTGATCTCTTGCTACCCATCGCTATGTCTTAAAGGCGAAAATCCAAGTTACTCGATTAGTTAGCGTAGGACGCCGAAAACATACAATCAAATGTACGACGAGGTCAAAGCAGGCTGCTTCTTCATATTTCTTGTACGTCACGAAAAATGCTTAATAACGCACAAAACTAGTGTGTCGTCATCCCAAAAATGACGCAATACAGGCTGGAATGTTGACGCCATATACGCAGCATGTTTCGAACTTCTGTAACAATGTAGTATTCGAACACATATACTTATACCAAGGTAAATTTTTTTCTATGGCAGAAATTTGACTCGTGCAATCTGATGCATGATCCATGTATCAAACTTTAATTGATAAGTGTCTTGCGTGATCGATTCCGAGGCAATCCTTACTAACTGGTTCAATTTTTTCTCGTTCTGAGAAATATCAGGAAAACCATCGTCATCACGTTTTGTGTATCACAGCCCATGACTATAGCATTAGACTCGAAATCACAGATCAGACACATCTCAGTTATGTCCGCGTTTTCAGCTGGTTCTGGTCGTCATACCATTCTCAGTGTTGCCAGCGTGAAGTGCGTCCAAACCTTGATAATGTGCTGGGGTTTCACGTTCCCAAACCTCAATGTGATTATGAACTAAGTCATAATGGACGACTCTGGGCAATTTCGAACGCCTAGGACTCACTAACGCGCACCTAAATCTATAGGCACACATACCTTCAGCATTTACCGGCCTCGAGATGCGGCCGGGTTTTGATTCCGACACCTTCGAATCAACAGTCGAGCACCACAGCCACTGAACCATCTGGCTGGTGCGTTTAGTCGGCGATGCCATTCACCAGCACTCATGCACTGGCTGATTATTTTAATTGCGCTTTCCGGTTCTCCCGTCGTCTTTGAGTCATCGTACGAAGATCATCGACCTCAACTCGTAACTCCACGCACGACACCGCAATTAGTCGAGACACGACAGGCGTAAGACTAATTGGCGCCGCCCAATGGTCACAACGTCGTGTGATGCGGGCAGGCATCCCTGCCATCTTGTTTTTTTTCTTCGACACCGTGTCCGCCTCTATAGATGCGTAGCTTCCGGGTGCAGTTACGTCCCGAAGTGTGTCACACATCTTTACGAAAAACGTACGGCGTCTTTTGGGGATGATCAAAGGCGACGAGGTCTCGACAACGTCGAAGTCTCGTGTGCGTTCACAGGTGCGACCTCAAGGGGGGCGCGTTCCCTCGAGCCCGAGTAGTGCGGGTTCTCATACCGCATACGTAAAGTCGAAACGTCTGAGCTTCCGGTGGTCAGTCGGAGTACCGGCCCGGCGCAACATGCGAAGGCCGTTCACCCGGTGTACACAGGGCGCGATGTAGGACGCCGGCTGAGAAGAGGGCCAACGGCAGCGTCTCTTCCGGTAATAAGTATTCACAGCACGGCTCCCGCGAGTGCGGCTGCTGTGGCTGACTTATCGAAGAATGCGATGTACGAGGCTATCGAACGAGCTGTCAGTAGCCGTGAGTATACGAGCCACAGCGGTATTCATCACGCGGTCAAAGCCAACGCACATTTGTGAAATGAGCGCACACACCGGTTTGTTATTAGCGAAGCAATTAAGTATACGCTCATGCACCCGCCACGCGAATCCGCCAATAGTGTGTTCCTTTTCTTCCAGGCCTGCTCCTATACAGTTCGCTTTCACGTACGAACGCGCTTTCAAGTGATTCAGAGGGCCAGATTCAGCAGAGCCCTTCGGCACTGACATTTTATAGCTTACAATTATACCGCTTCACTGTACTCGGATGACTCATTTCATATTGAAACACAGCGGGACTGTTTTTTTTTGTCGGATTTTGTGCGCGATTATGTTTGTTGCACACTGGAAACGTTTTTTGTGTACGGGCATAGGTTCTGCGTTTTTTGGTGCTTTTTCTATTGTATGTTCTGAAACTTATAAACAAAATTACGGCACGTTGTTGAGGTAAAGCCAGCTGGCTATCTTTGGTTGATGTCGCCTTCATATGCTATAATCACTGCATTCGGTTCCCACTGTCGTGTGTGCACTATGAAGTCGCCTTTTCTTTTTTCTTGTTATCGCCTGTTAACTTCAACTTATATTGCAAACCGCGTCATATTTTCATTGTGCTGATACGCTTTGTAACGCGTAAATTAATTTTGTGTGATCTGTAAAACTTCACCAATTACCCCCCTTACTCAATGCCCTGTAAAGGGCCTGTAAGGAATTTTAAATAAATAAATAAATAAATAAATAAATAAATAAATAAAAAACAACATCGAGTGCGCGGCTATCACACGTGTAATGCAATTTTAGAAGAGTAGAAGTTTTAGTCAGTTGGCGATGCATACTTGGTGAAACGAAGCACAATAAACGGAACAAAAGCAGAGAAAGGCAGGACGAACCGCTTCGTCCTGTCCATCTCACCTTTTTGGTCCCGTTTATTGCACCTAATGTCACCAAGTACGCTTAATACAGCGGCAAGCGCCGTTGTAATAGTGTTGGCCAACGCAAAGCAGAATATCCATACGTGCAGCCAGGGACGTAGGCAGAAATGTTTTTCGGGGTGGAGAGCACATCCTTGATCTGAAGCGGGGACTGGGCATGCAGATATGGTCGTGTGTCATGTCGGACTCTGTTTATGTCATGGAAAAGAATTGGGGAGGTGTGTGGGGTGGCACGGGACTATTATGCCATGGATTTCCCGGCTGCGCGCACGGCGCTGACTTCCAAGGGTGGCTTATACTTTCAGTATATAGACAAGACGCAAATGTTCCTCCCGCCACAGCCGTCACAATCAAGAGCCCAACTGCGCGAAAAATTACACCAAATACATGACAAATATTTTATGCAATACTTAGGAACATCTGAGCGTGCTTACGGATGAGTTAGTACTGTGCGTGTATGCTATCACCGTATTCACGTTAGCGCTATGGCATAGAACGCCTCACGATGCCACGCCTATCTTCAAGTCCAACAAGCTCACATTGCAACTCTCATATATTTTATGCACGCCGGTGCGCTACACAAGCGGACGTTCGAATGTTTCGGCGCAGTGACCCCTTTCGATAACGCCCATCTCACATATCATGCGCACGCGCTATCAGTAATAGCTTCATCCGTGTTTACGGTTACGCGCGTCTGCGCATGAGGGCCTAAAGCGTTTATTTCTCAAGTCTTGAAGGGCACTTGCTTGGGATTTACTACAGGCACTTTGTGCTTTCAGCAAAGAAACCAGCATCCGGGCTGGATATCAGCTGGGATGCGTCTTCATCGACGCGAGGCTCATATTCATAAGAGTGATTCGTCATAAGGATAGCGATGCACGCGAGAGTCGTGATTGGTCACCTTTGTAGCGTTGGGAGTGATGGTTGCGCGTTTCTTCCTAGATATGACGCAACGCTAGCAATCGGAGGCCGCTCACAGCTTTCGTATACCCTGCATGCTATAGTGCTCAAGGGGTGGCTACGAGAGGGCCCATAGCGTGAAGTCGTTAGGCATTTTGGGTGTGGCCGGACCGGAAGTAATCGATCCTGTCGCCGCCAGCCGGACAGTTGCGCGTGATCCCATTCTACGAAGCAGTATGCAGATGCCGTATACGGCCACTTTCTAATTACTTGCGAGTACGTTAGGTTTCTGTTAACGTTAGTAGGTCAGGGCGATGTCCGCTCTGCATTGCTTCAAACTAGCATCTAGGTGGTGCTACGGCTGTGTCGTTCTTCCGCATGCGAGGTGTCACTTCGTTACCAGCCTTTAAATAAAACTATCACATAAGAATTACGAGACCGCGCGTGCAGTTCTTAGTGAAACCTAACGCATAAGAATTAGACAATGTCGAACCAAACACCGGGCATGCCTCTTTTAACAAAACAAATAAACCATGTTGTCACATCACGGCTTCAGCACTGAATGCTCGTAAGTATGATTGCTGAAATATACTGCATATTAAAAAGCAGTTTACATCAACAGTTCGCTTGCGTGTGTAGTTGGTCATATGAACGTGTACAAAAATAGCACTTCTGTGTCCAACTGCGGCCGTAGTTAACACTGTCCATTTTCAATCTCGTGATGATGATATTATGACGGTGGACTGGTGGCACGTTCGCTTCAGCGACGCAGCAATATTGAGCAAGAAAGCCTCTATACACGATGATAAATATATAGCGTCGGTAGTCCCTTAAAAGCCGGGCCTGTGTGCATTCTGGCAATTCAATAGTCGAAATAAGTGAAAACTACTACCCTTAGTTGTTCCGAAATTTCGCTAGTTCAAGGTTTTCCCCCTCGGTGCTGATTATTCGAACGATATTTGCAAAAATATTCGCCATTCGGAATATACATTGTTCAACTCGAATGCTGAATCGAATAGAATTCGTTATTGAAAAGTTTCGAATATTCACACACCCTTCTTACCTCCTTGCTCGCATGGCTGGCCCGGTGGTGTGGCAGTTGAGGTGCTCGAATGCTGACTTGAAGGTCGCCGGTTCAATCTTTGACCGCGGTGGTCGCATTTTGTTGGGGGTCAAATGATACAATCCCGCGTATACAGCGCAATATCAGTGCACGTTAAATAACATCAGATGGTAAAATCTTCCCGAGCCCTTTACTACGACGCGCCTCGCAATAATATCGTGGTTTTAGCACCAAAACCACCCGCCCGGACATTATCATTACTTCCTTGACACTCGAACGCAGGCACCTTATGTCACCGCCGCCCTGTAGAGCCACACGCACTGACACTGTAGGTGACCTTGTTTTTTTCGCCGGGCAAGGAAGCTTAAAGAATAGAGGCTGCAAGGTCGTCCGATAAATGTAGAGATTGTGGTCACTGCTTCAATAGCTGGCGGAAGGTGGGAT